CCTGATCCCGGAGCTCAGAGATGGTTTGCACCGTGCTGTGGATTCACAGACTCAAATCATTTTCAAGATGAATCGTTAGCTTTGGACTTTGGTGGAGATTCATTCTTTGGCACAAAAGATGGATGCCATCAAAGAGAGAGTGGACGAATCAGGACGGATTGGGATAGATTAACGCCCATTATTGGGATTCTGAGAGGTTGAGGACCAACAAACTGAGAGGACCAAAGACAGAGAGGAAATTATCTCTGGCTGGCCCCAAAACAATTTCTAATCGGATTCTGGCGTCCTTGAGCCTGCAAGGCTACAACGAAAACTCCCCCCTCAGAAGATATGTGGAATGTGCCATTGCTATGGCAACTCTACTCTGCCTTCTTTCCCAGCCTGGGCGGGACTGCGGGAAGGCCGCCGAAGCGTCCAGGGTCACTGCAACCCTCCAACCCTCAATGCTCCCCCCCATCCACACTGAGGTGACATGCACTGCTTCATCGTGGCTGCAGGAACTGAAGTTGGGATAGTCCCACCCCACCACCCCTCCTAGTGGACACTTATGTGATCCTTAGGTGTTTTTTTGCAGAGCAAAGCTGCCCTCCTGGTGGGAGGGTAACTCTGAAGTGCCTTTTTTTCCCTCCACCTGAACCAATCCTCATGATACCCTCTTATCTCTATTAAGGTAGCGTGACTCAGGGTTGCGAATGACCACAGTCACCAATTCTTGTCATGTGTCTTGCCCATGTATGTCTGATCTCTGAATTGTGTGTACTGAAACTCTAATTTCCCTCTGGGATTAACAAAGTATCTTTGATTGATTGATTTGATTTAATTCAGCTCATTTAGAGAATAACTAATTCAAACCTTTGTTTGTTTGTTTGTTTGTCCTTACCACATGCACAAATGAGAAAATGCAATTGCACAAAACTGCTGATGTGAGTCACAAATGCTGCAAGAAACCCGAGCAAACAGAGACAGAGAGCCGGAGGAGGATCCCGGCAGAGTGAACATCGGGTTGTGGCTTGTGCTCCGGATATGCGTTGGCTAAGGGGGTTGTTCGGGTGGTCGGCCGATGGTCTGTATGGGCCCGGTAAGACGGTGGCCCGACTTCACTCTGCATCGGCCTCATTTGTGGTGATGGATGGGGAAGAAGGGAGCGGGAAAGACTAGCGTGGCCGTTCATTCGGCTGGGTCAGGGGCTGGTAAGAGAGACCGTGGGAGAAGCAGTGATGCTTTGGACGGAGATTGGGATGCGCAGGTGAAGATGCACAGGCTTCAGGAGGGCAGCTTTGAGGTCTTCATCAGGGCAGAGGCAGGTGTGCGTTTTGCAACCTCTAACCCATTCGCTGTGACCAGGGAGCTGTGTGCGGTGATAGGTGATGTTCTTGATGCTATGGTTATGTTTAGTGGGCTGTTGACAGTGGTATGTTGGGCGAAGGCCCAGTGCCTCAAAGCACTGAAACTGGAGGTGTTTATGGGGGTGGGGGTGACTGTTACTGAATTGTGTTCTGGTGCTATGGATAAGGAGGTAGTATACGGTATATCAAACAATGTTTCTGAGCCTGATGTGTTTGTCTTCCTGAGTGGGCCGGCAGTGGTGGCTGTTCAGCGTCTGGAGTTTGACTCCCATGGATACACTTCACTGTTGATAACTTTTGACACGGTGGAGCTCCCTGCTCGTGTCATGTTGGGCTTGCTCAACTACTCAGTTAGGGCATTTGAGGACTCTCCTTTTATGTGCTTTAGGTGTCAGGGCTTTGGGCATGTGGCTGTGTGTACCCAAAAGAAAGCCATTGTTGATGTGTGTGTGTGTGTGTGTGTGTGTGTGTGTGTGTGTGTGTGTGTGTGTGTGTGTGTGAGCGTGTGTACTTTCTTTGACATTGAATTTGGTACCATTAGTTTATCTGTTTAATTATAGATTCACTAGGATAAATACAATAGTTTATATCTCACCAAATAAAATATTTACTAAGGAATCACAATGTAACCATAGAAACACTACTTGGTATTTACCGTAAATCCTCTAATACAGGTCGGTATTCAAATAAAGGCCGGGTCTCCAATTTTGGCCGGTGTCGGAGTCAGCGGAGGTGAATAATGGCCGGTCTCTTATTGTGGCCGGGTGGAATGTGGGAACAAGCAAGCATCTTATTGTGGCCGGGTGGAATGTGGGAACAAGCAAGCATGAGCATCTCAGCGGCAGGGTTATAGTCCCCAAATCAACCAGCAGGAGGCAATAGAGGTTCACACAGACCTTTATTTGACTTTTTTTTCAATGCTACAGACACGATCCTCTATCACGCTCCTACCACACAGAGTCACGGTGTCAGTTAACCATGCTAATTCAACCCGCTCCACAGAACACACATCACCTTCCCTGTGGCTTACATAACACTCACACAACACACAAATCAGCACATAGTAACTAGCAGAACGATAGGAAACACATATAACACAATACCCAGAATGCACCTGGCTTACAACCCCAGCCAGGTCATTACACTATCAAGTTCAAAGAGAACGTGCTGATTATGCTGCAGAACACTCTGGGGAGCAGCAGTAGGGGGTGTATGAACTAGTCAACTTCACTATAGTGACTTTTTATGCATGTCGTCAACTAGTCGCTGTCACGTGATAATGACCGGCAAGATGCAGCGCTCGGAAAAGACAGCAGCCTGCTGTCAGCAGGTGACAAGCTCCTGCGCTCGGGGGGGGGGGGGGGGGGGGGGGGCAACGCGCTGTGCCAGACCGTAGGTACTGACACGCGATCGTTCATGTCGGTTCATTTCCTTTAATGTTTTCTGTCTTTTATTTGCGCCTGATGTGTATCGCTGCTGTGGAGCGGGGCGCATCAACTTGTCCTCCGACGCACAGATCCATGATGCGGCCTCCAAGCAGCGAGCGCTCCGCTGTTTTCGCGGTCAGTAGATCTGCCTCCTGAGCACGGCCACAGTAACAATCAGGTGTCGCCACCTCAAAAACTAATTTAACACGCGATCGTTCATGTCAGTTCATTTCCTTTAATGTTTTCTGTCTTTTATTTGCGCCTGATGCGTTTCGCTGCATGCTGTGGAGCGGGGCGCATCACCTTGTCCTCCGATGCACTGATCACTGATACGGCCGCCAAACAGCGAGCGCTCCGCTGTTTTTGCTGTCGGTAGATCTTTTAGAACTGCAGTTCAAAGGTAACTCATGAGGTGAATATATATGAACCCAGGTAGCAGTTTTTCTTTAGGATTGAGAGGAGATGCAGGAAGATAATAAACAGACAGGACAGAAAAATAGTCAAATAAAAACAAGTTAGTTTTTGTACCTGCTGGTTGCAACAAACAGACACCATTGAAGGTCATCAGAAGTGAGGAACAGAAAATGAAATAATTATTTTAATGTTTAGAGCAGCAGGAACTCCGAGAGGCTGCAGGTGCATCAGTGAATTTGCGGCCGCTGCAAAGGGGGAGGGTGGAGAGGGCTGAAGCAGAAACTACCGTTGTTAAAAGAAATGTGTTTAACTTTGAAAATGTGGGAGCAATTTTAATTGTCAAAAACTCCAGCGAACCATTAGTTCATTTTGCTCAAATAGAAATAGAGGCCTGCATCTAATACTGGCCCTCCTTCCAATAAAGGCCTGGAGCTTGATGAGCTTGAGTCAAATACAGGCCCGGGCCTGTATTAGAGGATTTATGGTATGTTTGTGTGTGTGCGTGCATGCGCGTGGATGCGCGTGCGTGCACGTTCGTGTGTGTGTGTGTAGTCAGTGACTTGATGCAACCTGTTGGGTTCCTTATACAGGAAACTTTTTACTGATTGGCTTAATGCACTGACCTGTATTGGAATGTTTACTGTGTGAAGTGCCTTCAGTCGACTCTTGTCGTGATTTGGCGCTTTATAAATAAACTGAAATGAATTTTATCATGACCAAATCGTCTTAGGATGCACTTCCTGTTCCTTTTGAGCGCAGCAATCTGTTCTATACCTTCACTTAAACAATTAGGTTATGGGTCAGAAGTATAAGAAAATGTAGTGTACTTGTTTTTTCGTGGCTTTTGACGAAACCGTTAAAAAAACGAGAGAAACCTGGCTACAGACCTCCGCTGTCAGGCTGCTTCTGGTGCAGGCTCCACTGTCAGGACGGTTAGGACGGGAAATGCACGGGATACATTACAAAATAAAATGGCAAACATACTTACACTTGTAATTGATAGGTTTCAATATAAAATATTATGTAAAATCTATCAATTATTTCTCTATAGTTCATATGTAGTTGTCATTTAACATGCTTACGGTTGTAATTTTTCTAAATGAATTAACAAATGGCCGGGATAGGTTTCAACATAAAACGCTAACATACTTCTGGTCGTCATATTTCTAAAATAAAATCCCGAATGCTGTTTCGGTTGAATCGCTCTCCTCATAAACACATCTATTTTTTAATCTTACGTAAAATCTATCAGTAATTTCTCTATAGTCATATATAGTTGTCATTCATTTAGTAAACCTTAGTTTTGTTTGTCATTTTTGTTGTGTGTTGTCAGTTTTCCTTTACCGTTGCACAACGTGGTGATTATGATATATTCTGTCATAATCTAAGACGTAATATTAAAAAATAAACGCGTTTGTGAGGAGAGCGATTCAACCGAAACAGCATGCGGGATTTTATTTAGAAATATGACGACCGGAAGTATGTTAGCGTTTTATGTTGAAACCTATCCTGGCCATTCGTTAATTCATTTAGAAAAATTACAACCGTAAGCAAGTTAAATGACAGCTACATATGAACTATAGAGAAATAATTAATAGATTTTACGTAATATTTTATATTGAAACCTATCAATTACAAACGTAAGTATGTCTGCCGTTTTATTTTGTAATATATCCCGTGCATTTCCCGTCCTGACAGTGGAGCCTCCACCGGAAGCAGCCGGACAATGGAGGTCTGCAGCCAGGTGCTTTCGGAGAGAGGAACAAAAAACATTACGACAACTATTTTGTCAGAAAAACCACCAGCGGAAGTTATGTGAGAGCCAGGTGTGTTTTATTCTGCTCCAGCAGGTGGCGGTAGTGCACCTTTACGCTGGTCACCGACCACCGGAAGAAGCAGAAACCGGAAGCTGCTAGCAGAGCTAGCTTGTTGTTCTGGTGTGTGAGGAGAATATTTGAGGCTCTGCAGTAAAAACGTCTTCACTTCAGTCTCTGGGAGAGTTGATCAGCTAAAGCGACTAACTGCTGCTGCTGCAGAAATCTTCTCACCAGGCTGTGGAAACTTTCTTCTCCTCCTCAACAACTTGGTGGAGTTCTTTCCAGAACCAGAGAAGATATTCTGCGGTCTTCGTGACAATCGGAGCTCCAGAATCAGGTTGTGGGTGAGAAAAGCTTTTCTCTAGACTTCCTGCCCTCTGGATCTGCTGCTGTTCCTTTGGCCAGAACCAAAGCGTTGGATCTTTAATCTCCTGCGTTGTTCTGAAGCAGCATCTTAATCAGCTCTCCTGCTTTGTTTCTATTGCAGCTGTTAGCTAAACACGGCTAAAGAAAACCTGCTACCACTTCAGGATCATCCATCAGCTGGGACTGATTCATCGTGTGTTCTTCACCACCTGGACCTGGACAGCATGGACACAGGTAGGGCTGCCACCTTTCAGATATGTAAATAAGGACTCCACCACAGCTTCTCGGGGCCATGACCAAATATGAACTTTCTGCTGTAAAACCTGTTCTGTCCTCTTCAGCAGCTTCTGTTTCTGTTACAAAATAACCAGTAAAAGTGAACTAGTACTAAATCACATTGTTGGATTGATTTTATTTATATGTTGGCTCTAAAACAGGAGAAAGGCAGAAGGGTTGCACATTTTTCTGTGATCAAAGGTTCGATATGAATCTAGATTCACAGGTTATGATTCCATTTTACAAACTATATCCTTTTATTAAAGACCCGTTAGATTCAAAACGATTAGATTCGAATTCTCCGTAAGAACGAAACAACTTGATTCTACTGTTAATATTTATTTGTCGATATTTTATAAAATTAAGATGCCAGTTCTGTTAAAGTGACTGTAATATTCTCATTCTAAATATGTAAAAGACCACTTATCCCAAAGCAATGTTGCATAATGGCAAAAACATCACTGCATGATTGTCAACGTATTTATTTTTAGATGTGAACCCACAAAAAGTGTCTGAGTCATCGGATGGGAACTCCACAGGTAAACATAGCACATAATAAGAATAAAAAGCAACATTTCAGCTGGAGCTTAGTGTTTTGAACACTAGAGGTGGGTAATCATGTAAACAAGTTACACACCTATAAACATACCAAGTAACACTAACCCAATTATGATGGTGGTCATTCATTTCAAAAGGCCTGGGGAGCCAGGATAAACCTCATTATTATCTCAATACTCAACACAGTGACAAGCGCTTCATGTGAAAATGATTTTAAAAAAAGCTAAATAAGTGTCCAGTGTGCTTCTCGGGAAGGATCACAGACAGATTAAAGTATTGCTCGACAGATTATGTTTTCCTAACAGTTCGAAGGTCATGATAGTCCTCCAACTTATGATGAATTCCATGAAGATGCCCTGCTTCCAGAATCTTGTTGTTTACAGTCAGAGAGATCAGTTTGTTTTGCCATAAAGGTGATCTTAGTGAAGTTCCTATCACTTCACCCATACTTTTGTGGACACCGTACCAAAGTTTATGTTTATGTTTATTCGTTTAGCAGACACTTTTATCCAAAGCGACTTACAATTTATTACCTATAGGACATGTTATGATCTGTGGGGGAAGCCGGAGTACCCGGAGGAAACCCACGCATGCATGAGGAGAGCACGCAACTCCACGCAGAAAGGCCGCAGCCGAGTTTCGAACCTGCGACCATCGTGCTGCAAGGCAACGGTGCTAACCACTGCTCCACCGTGCAGCCCAAAGTTTGATAAAATGTAATAAAATCGGGTTATCAATCGTCTTTGACAAGATTTTGTAATCGTATTTGTGAAAACAGTCACAAAAGAAATGATCCTTAAAAGAAAGGATGGCTTCATATCATTTTCAGTCTAATGGGCTCGACACACGGGAGGCGACATCGCCTCTCCTCCATTCATTTTCAATGAGACATGCGCGACAAAGCGATAGTCTCCGTCCTACTAAGCGAAACGCGAAAAACGTGCGTGTGAATTTTTGTGCTTGTGCACTTGTCGTGCACAGGGGACCCAGCGATGCGATCCCAGAGAGTTGAAATATTTTCAACTTTTCATCGCTGTCGCTCGGACGAGGACCAATCAACGGAGGTTTCATTCACTGACCAATGAGCGGGCAGGATGCTCCGTACATCTCCGAGCAAACATGAAGGAGAAGTTGATTATTATTATGTTTTATATAGTAACATCAGAAGTAAGATTTCACATAACTCTAGCAGCACCTTGTGAAACATCATATCTACCGCTTTATTTACTCTGAACCGCTTAAATAACCTTAATTCCCTCCAACCTGACACAGCCAAACAAAACAACGGAAGTTTCAATTTCGCCATGGAACTGAACGCGTAAACGGCTTTGTCGCTACTGCGGGTCGCCTCCCATGTGTCAGGTAATAAAAGCGACAGCGACGAATTTCGCTGATCGCGGTCGTTTGTCGCCTCCCGTGTGTCGAGCCCCTAAGATGAGAGAAATCACATTTAGGCTGCAAAATAATACTTTTAATATTGGGTTGTTGAACTGCGATTGAAAGAGTTTCTAGAAACTTAACTTTGTTTTTGTTTTTTTTTGGGTTTTAACGTAACTTTTTCAACACAATTGTTCTCATCGGAGCATTTCCTAGAATAACAAAGCAGCGAAAACTGGAACCAGAACAACCTAACCCGCCCGCCAAACTCACTTTCAAAATAAAACACTAACGTTAACTATTCAAATATGTTACAATATGTTTGAGGCTCTCTATAGCATTTTCCTGATTACATGGGGGAAGGGTTTGGCCCGTCTCTCCACACAAGCAGGATAAGCAGAACTCAATGGCAGCCACAGTGAAAAGGCTCGCTGAAACACGAACTTCCTAATAACAAAACCAGGAGCCACATGCAAAGTTCAGGGCAGAACATTGACCCACAGGTTTCCTGATTGATCAGACCTTGATAACCATTGAGTTTTTTTATAACTGAGTTCTCGAGACATGAAAGTAAATTTCACTATAGTCGGTCTCTATCTGACAACGCTGTTGCATCTTTTAAATCAACTGTTCCATCTTTACTGTCCTCTGAGGGCAGAGGGCAATATTTTCATTTCTAGCCCCTCACAAATTGATGCATTAGTTCATCATGTTACTTCCTCTTTACGTGTGGCATTAGATTATGTTGCCCCTTTAAAAAAAGAAGGTAATTAGAGACAGGAAGGCGGCTCCCTGGTTTAATTCTCATTTACAAACTTTAAAACAAAACTCTAGAAAATTGGAGAACATGGCGCTCTACGCACCATGAGGAGTCCTGCTTATCCTGGAAAAATAGTCGTGTTCTTTATAAAAATAAGCTTCGACAAGCTAGAACTGCTTATTTTTCATCGCTTATTAAGGAGAATAAGAATAATCCAAAATTTCTTTTCAGTACTGTTGCCAAACTTACACAGAATCATAGCTCTGAACCATATATTCCCTTAGCCCTCAGCAGCAACGACTTTATGGGATTTTTCACGAGTAAAATCAATTCTATTAGAAACAAAATCATTAGCATCCTCCCTAATGTGATTTCTTCTTCCTCAGTAAGTGAGGCAGCATTTGAGGTAACTGTAGAACCTCATCTGTGTTTGAACCATTTTGAACTAGTTGAGCTTTAAGAGTTATCAAAAATATTAGCTTCTTCTAAACCTTCAACTTAGATCCAATCCCAACCAAATTATTTAAAGGGGCAATATGGAAGTTTGACAGCCAAAACATGTATAGAAATAATACATTTCTTCTTCATACATTCTCCTGCAATGCCCTGGTCCTGTAGAGTGAGCCCTGGCATTTTTACTGTAATTGCCTGTTTATCTCGGTTTTTCTGTAAAATCACAGAAAAAGAGAGTTGAGCTGAGCTGCTCGGGTCGAGCAGGCTGCTTCATGCACATTCACGCTCAGGCATTGCCCGTAGCTAGGGCTGGGCGATATATCGATATTTTTAAAATATCGGTATAATTTTTAAACAAGATATAAGATGACTTTATATTTTATATCGATATAACTGGTCAAACTGCTATGCTAGCTATTAGCCGCAATGCTAGCGACATGTTGCTCCGTCTCTAAGCGGTTATTACGTGTATTCTCACAAGTTTTCTCTATCTGAGAGCCTCTGGGTGAATGTGCTGCTCTAAACTTTGCATTTAGCGTCCTGGTTTTTAATTATTTGGGGACGTTCAACACCAACGGAGTTCTGTTTATCCATTCTGCTTGTGCGGAGACGAACCAAACCCCTCCCTCCCCTGTGTAATCGGGAAACATCTACGGATAGTCAGAGTGGCCAAATTACCTCAAACGTATTGTAACAGTTTAATAGTAAACTAGAGGGTTAACGTTTTATTTTGAAGGCGAGCTCAACGGGTGAGAAATGTTATTCCGGTTCCGTTTTTCCGCTCTGGTTAGCTATGCTAGTAAATACTCCGTTACGAGCGATTCTGTTGAAAAAGTTAAGAGTTTGTAAGGCATGGGTTACGGCGACAGAAGCCCAAAAATAATCCCCATAAAAGAGCAACCAGAGAGACTGAGTCATTACAGTATAATCGCTGATATAAATCAGTACGGTTAGATTCCAGCCAGGTTTGCCCTGATTACTATTAACTCCACTGTGCATGACCCACGTGATCGTAGATGCAATTACATCATCATAAATTTAGCTTAACATGATATATTTTATTTCTCTGGACAATAAATATACGATATGGGCCACCTCTAGATGAAATTTAAATAATTGTACATTAATTATAAATATATAAATAAAAAGTGCCTATGGGACATTTGATACACCTCTAGCTCCCAACTGTGTAGGTGTTAACAGACAGCTGTACCAGTGTTTCTAAAGCTCAAACTGGTAGAGAATAGGCACTAAGGTTAAAGTTTGACAAGAGTCAATAAATTTTTATGCATTTTATCTACTGATTCATGTATGTAATTTCTCAAGACAGCTTGAAGTGAGTTAACTTGTAAATATTTTACAGGAGGAAAAATATCGATATATATCGTATATTGGAATTCAGCAAAAAGATATCGAGATATACGTTTTCGTCCATATCGCCCAGCCCTACCCGTAGCATTTGCTATCAGTAGCTTTAGCAGCAGAGAGTGAGGTAGTGCCAACTCAGCGACTTTGTCGCTGTTCCTAACGCCTAGTGATGAACCTAGCTGCATTTCTGAGGACCCTTAGCTACTTTCTTCTAGATATTTCCTGCAAATTAGCAACAAAATAGCCATTTTCACTCCGAACCGTTCTTTGAACGTTGTTTCAGCTGTCATCAAGGATATGAAAGCTACAGATACGAAAGACGTTACGGGTGCTTTAGCTCACTTAGTGAGACGAAGGACTTCCATGCGGGAGATCTGGATTCGAATCTTGATGTGAACAAAATTTATTTAGTGCTTATTTTTTGCATTAATGGTATATTTTTTACAGTAAGATGTCCAAATTTTTATTTGAGACTCGCCGAACGGCATTGAATTCACAGATAAAAAAGATGTGGGTTCAACTTTCATTTTGGAACAATTTTTCAAGCAAGGGAAGGGACGCAATGTGAAGCTGACGGACTGACCCATCTTAAACCTTTGTTGGCTGTGCTGAAGATAAATGTACAGAACCAAATTATTTAATTAATTAGCTGCGCGTTCTACTGTCCTCTGTCCTCCGGGCCACACACACACACACACGGAGCTGACTGTCTCAGCTGTTATTTTCGTTAAGGGGTGTGCACGTACAGCATGCATGCCTCGTGCACGAGCCTACTATTGAAGCTGCCGTTACGCTTTTGGCCTGAGGGGGCAATCGCGAGCATAAAAATTCAAAACTCCGTAAAGTCCCTTTAAAGATGCATTCCTTTGGTTACTGCCCCCATTCTAGATCTAATCAATCTATCCTTAGTAAATGGATATGTACCACAGGATTTTAAGGTTGCTGTAATCAAACCTTTACTTAAGACGCCTTCTCTGGATCCAGATGACCCAATGAATTATAGACCAATATCTAACCTTCCATTTTTATCCAAAGTCCTGGAGAAAATAGTGGCCATCCAAGTATGTGAGCATTTAAACACTAATGATTTATTTGAGGAATTTCAGTCTGGTTTTAGAGAGTATCACAGCACTGAAACTGCATTAGTGAGAGTTACAAATGATATTCTCATGGCCTCAGATAAGAATCTTGTGTCTGTTCTAGTCTTGTTAGATCTCAGTGCTGCCTTTGACACAGTTGATCACAATGTTCTTTTAGAAAGACTTGAACATGTTGTAGGGATCAAAGGAACAGCACTAGGCTGGTTTAAATCCTACCTGTCTGATAGATATTGTTTTGTAAATGTACATGAGAAATCTTCTTCATACTCCAGGCTTACTTGTGGAGTACCACAGGGTTCAGTGCTTGGAACAATTCTTTTTACTATATATATATGCTCCCAATTGGTAAAATCATTAGATAGCATGGGATAAACTTCCACTGTTATGCTGACGATACTCAGTTATATCTATCCATTAACCCTGATGAACCTAATCTGTTAGTTAGATTACAGGCTTGTCTTGAGGACATAAAAAAATGGATGACTCTAAACTTTTTGCTTTTAAATCAAGACAAGACTGAAGTTCTCATCTTTGGACCAGAAATCCAGAAAAGGAAATTGCTTAGCCAATCGTCTGACCTGAATGGCATTACATTAATCTCTGAGAACAAAGTAAGGAACCTTGGTGTTATCTTTGACCAGGACATGTAATTCAAATCCCACGTTAAACAGGTTTGTAGGATTTCCTTTTTCCACCTTCGGAATATTGCTAAGATTAGATGCATCCTTTCCAGGAGTGATTCTGAAAAACTAGTTCATGCATTTATTACATCAAGACTGGATTACTGTAATTCATTACTCTCAGGAAGTCCACAGAATGTAGTTAAAAGTATTCAGCTTGTCCAAAATGCTTCAGCTAGAGTTCGGAAGAGAATTAAAATGAGAGATCATATCTCTCCTGTCTTAGCTTCCCTACATTAGCCGTCTGTTAAATTCAGAAAAGATTTTAAGATCCTTCTTCTCGCATATAAAGCTCTTAATAATCAAGCTCCTTCATACATCAGTGATCTGATTGTTCCATACGTTCCTAACCGAGCACTTCACTCTCAAACTGTAGGTTTACTGGTGATTCCCAGAATATCTAAAAATAGGATGGGAGGCAGATCTTTTAGTTATCAGGCTCCTCTCTTGTGGAACCAAATCCCAGCTTTAGTCCATGAGGCAGACACCTTATCTACTTTTAAGAAAATGCTTAAAACATTTTTATTTGATGGGGCCTATTAAAATCTAATGTTAGCCTAGATCTGGACAGGTGGGGGAGTAGACGGAGGTGGAGTGAACAGTCTGTAAAGATGGCTCTCCCCTGCCCTGCCTCCAACATGCCTCCATCTAAAAGGCTAGGTTATCCATAGTTATCTCTGTAGTTATGCTGCTATAGGCTTAGACTGCTGGAGGACACACTGACCACTTTTCACACTCGACTACTTTCTTCTACAATCTGCTCTTTAACTGTATTATTTCCTGCTATTTCAGCTGTTAACTTTATTTATTCTCTAAGTGTTTTTCTCCCCAGAAGAAGCTACAATGATGTTCTGCTGAGCTGTGGTGCCCTCATGGAGGGGGCCATCGTCTTGAACACTGTTGCTAACCATTTAACCATTCTCCCTCTCCAGATAATAACATGAACGTTCTTTGACATTGAATGTGCTACTACTAGTTTACCCGTTTAATTATAGATTCACTAAGATAAATACAATAAACTTTATCTCTCCCCAAATAGAATATTTACTAAGAAATCTCAATGTAACCATAGAAACATTACTTGATGTGTGTGTGTGTGTGTGTGTGTGTGTGTGTGTGTGTGTGTGTGTGTGTGTGTGTGTGTGTGTGTGTGTGTGTGTGTGTGTGTGTGTGTGTGTGTGTGTGTGAGAGAGAGAGCATTCATGCGCATGTAACTAACACAGAGTAGGGAGGTGAGTACAAAAAAATTATTTTCCCTAAAGGGAGACGTGATGTAAAATAATACAACTGTTAAATTGTATGTGTAAATATTAAGTTACATCAATCTGTAATACATTTAATGTGTTTTCTACAGATGTTCAACAGGGGGTGCAAGTTAAAGAAGAAGCTCCTGAAGAACAGAGTGCTGGTGTGGACCTGCAGGACCCAGAACACCTCCAAATAAAGGAGGAACAGGAGGAGCTCTGGACCCGTCTGGAGGGAGAGCATCTCTGTTTGAAGGAGGAGACTGAAGCTGTCGGGTTTCCTGTTACTGCTGTTTCTATAAAGAGTGAGGATGATGAAGAGAAACCTCTGGTCTCACAGCTTCATCAACAGCAAATAGAAGACAGAGATGTTCCAACCAGCAGCACAGCCGACCAGGTGGACGCAGAGACTGACGGGGGAGCAGAAACTAGCAGGAACCCTGATCTGAACCCTCTTGAACAGACATCTGATTCTTCAGAAACTGAAGTTAGTGGAGATGATGATGATGATGATGTGACTCTAGACTCTGAGCTGTCAGACTCTAGACATGAAACTGGAGACGGAGGCAATAACTGGATTCCAAACTGTTGTTCTGAGTCAGATGTCAAGACTGTCAACCAATTGTTTAGTTGCCCTGAGTGTGGTAAACAATTTGTCCACAAGTGGTCTCTCCAGAGGCATGTGAGAGTGAGTCATTCAGAAATAAGGTCTTCAGAATGTTTGGTTAGTAAGAAGTGTGTTAGAATGAAGAAGCATGTAGACTTGTGTAGGGAAGTCTATAAAGAGCGTACATCATTTAGTTGTGATGACTGTGGAAAGATGTTTAGAAAAATATCAAGTTTTAACATTCACCTGAGAGTCCACACAGGACAGAAGCCTTTTGCTTGTGAGCTCTGTGGAAAAAGATTTAGCCAAAAGACCCTTTTAAACAGACACATGAGAGTCCACACTGGACAGAAGCCTTTTGCTTGTGAGTTATGTGAAAAAAGATTTAGCCATAAGACACATTTAAACAGACACAAAATAGTCCACACAGGACAGAAACCCTTTACCTGTGAGCACTGTGGAAAAAGATTTAGCCAAAAGACGCATTTAAACAGACACATGAGTGTCCACACAGGACAGAAGCCTTTTGCCTGTGAGCTTTGTGGAAAGAAATTTAGCCAGAAGACTAATTTAAACAGTCACATGAGTGTCCACACAGGACAGAAGCCTTTTGCCTGTGAGCTCTGTGGACAAAGGTTTAGCCTGAAGTCAACTTTAAACAGTCACATGAGTGTCCACACAGGACAGAAGCCTTTTGCTTGTGAGCTCTGTGGAAAAAGATTTAGCCAAAAGACACTTCTAAACAGACACATGAGAGTCCACACTGAACAGAAGCCTTTTGCTTGTGAGCTCTGTGGACAAAGATTTAGCTATAAGGCAACTTTAAACAGTCACATGAGAGTCCACACAGGACAGAAGCCTTTTGCCTGTGAGCTCTGTGGACAAAGATTTAGCCTGAAGTCAACTTTAAACAGTCACATGAGAGTCCACACAGGACAGAAGCCTTTTGCCTGTGAGCTTTGTGGAAAGAAATTTAGCCAGAAGACTAATTTAAACAGTCATATGAGTGTCCACACAGGACAGAAGCCTTTTTCCTGTGAGCTTTGTGGAAAGAAATTTAGCCACAAGACTAATTTAAACAGTCATATGAGTGTCCACACAGGACAGAAGCCTTTTACCTGTGAGCTTTGTGGACACAGATTTAGCCTGAAGTCAACTTTAAACAGTCACATGAGAGTCCACACTGGACAGAAGCCTTTTGCTTGTGAGCTCTGTGGACAAAGATTTAGCTATAAGGCGACTTTAAACAGTCACATGAGAGTCCACACAGGACAGAAGCCTTTTGCTTGTGAGTTATGTGGAAAAAGATTTAGTCGACAGAAAACTTTAAACAATCACCTTAGCATCCACTAGGGCTACACGATATATTATGTTCTGATTCAAATTGTGATTTCAAACAACACGGACACGTGATTGTTAAAACTGCATTTTTTTGTAGTGCTACTTCTGACCCAGGACCTGCTATGTTTACTATTTTAGACATCCAGGTTTTTCCATGGTTTTTAAGGTGTTACAGTGATAATGAGTGAGAGTGGGGAGTTTTGGGAGCTAATCCCAATTCTTGAGCTGATGAAATAGCACATTTGGTGTTTTTATTTATTAATTAAACACTGGTACATCTGAAAATAATGTCTATGGGCTTCCGTTTTCTGCCCCCCACTCAGCTCCATTCGTGAGTGTAAGACAAAGAGACTTATTATACAGCTTTCTGCCAAAGTGGAACATGATTAAACGTAACAACAATGAGTGGACTTGAAAGCGCAACTTCCCTTTTTTTAATTAACTGGTCAGAGGGAAATTTACTTTGAAAGAAATTGTAAAAAAATAATAATAATAATAGTAATAATAATTCTATAACCATAGCTAAAAAATTGGCTTTCCAAAGGTGGATTTTTAAAAATTTCGATGTTATGAAATAGCACAACCAAAAAAGATAGCTTCCAGTATGAGTGCTACCCATATGCTTTTTGACCGCAGTAGTGCTGCAGTTGTCCGCTAGTTGAGCATGTTGCTATGGTAGTAAATCAGGAGGTTACTGAGGTTCTGCCAGTCTCGGAAGGATATATTGTTGGAATATGTGGATTATCTTTTAGATCCAACCATTGAGCATGTCGTAGCTTTCCCAAATGACTTATTTTCTCTTTACTGGAGCTAACACAGGTAGCCATACTGCTGCAGTTACACTAACAAGACTTGTTGATCTTGGCACGAGTTCAGGAAGAGTGTTACAGTTACAGATGATTATGGTAAATGGCCTGTATTTGATTTAACGCCTTCTAGAGTCATGTAACCCCTCAAGGTGCTTTACAACACAATCAGTCATTCATCCATTTACACACTGGTGGGGATGAGCTACAATGTAGCCACAGCTGCCCTGGGGCGCACTGACAGAGGCGAGGCTGCCGAGCACTGGCGCCACCAGTCCCTCCGACCACCACCAGCAGGCAACGTGGGTTAAGTGTCTTGCCCAAGGACACAACAACAGCGACAGACTGAGCGGGACTTGAACCTGCAACCTTCCGATTATGGGGCGAGCACTTAACTCCTGTGCCACCGTCGCCCCATTATATAGTTGAAATTTGTAAAAAAAAAAAATCTTGGCAAATAGGACTTACCAGCCCAGTGGTCTGTGCATTAGCTTTGCTCTAAATGGTCACTTCATATCTGACCACAGTCTGCTATGGTCCGCCTCACAAGCAGTTCAGTTCAATTCAGTTTATTCATATTAGCGTCAAATCACAAAAAAAGTCGTCTCAAAGCACTTCACAAAGTAAACATTCCAGTACAGTTCAGTTCATTAGTTCATGGGACAGCAGTTTCTCAGAAGGAAGAGTGGCTTGTCCAATAATCAGAAGTTTGCAGATTTAATCCTGGCTCTGACCAAAGAATGCTGCTGTTGTGTCCTTGGGCAAGACACTTAACCCACCTTGCCTGCTGGTGGTGGTTAGAGGGACTGACGCCACCAGTGTTTGGCAGGCCTCACCTCTGTCAGTGCACCCCAGGGCAGCTGTTGCTACATCATAGCTCATCCCCACCAGTGTGTGAATGGTTGGATGGAATTCACACACATGGGATGTGGACGAATGCCTTCTCCAAATCCACAAAACACATGTAGATTGGTAGGGCAAACTGCTATGCACCCTCCAGGACCCCCTGAGGGTATAGAGCTGGTCCAGTGTTCCACAGCCAGGACACACCACATTGATCCAGAATCTCCGCAAAGCCATATGGAAATCTTGCTCCATGGTCTCACTGAACTCCTCCCACACCTGGGTTTTTGTCTCCCAGACCACCTGAGCCGCATTCCGCTTGGACTGCCGGTACCCATCAGCTGCCTCTGGAGTTCTACAGGCCAGAAAGACCAGATAGGACTCTTCAGCTTGACAGCATCCCTAACCGCCGGTGTCCACCAGCAGGTTTGGGGGTGCCGCCACGACAGGCTCCAACGACCCAGCGGCCACAGCTCTGATCGGCCACCTCAACAATAGAGGCACGGAACGGCCTAATCAGATCCAATATCCCCCGCTTCTCCAGACCGTTTTGGAGATTCTGACGTAGGTGGGAGTTGAACTTTTGACAAGAGACTGCCAGACGTTCCAGCATACCCTCAAAATACATTTGGACCTGCCAGGTCTGCATTGCATCCTCCTCCACCATCGGAGCCTACTCACCACCAGGTAGTGGTAGTTGACAGCTCTACCCCTCTCTTCACTCAAGTGTCCGAGACATGCAGCCGCAGATCGGCTAAAACGACAACAAAGTCTATGATCAAGCTGCGGGTTAAGGTATCCTGGTGCCAAGAGCACATATGGACACCCTTATCCCTGAACATGGTGTTCATTATGGGCAATCCACAATGTGTACAACATGTTGACTCTAGAAGAGGTTATTCTCGAAGAACGGAAGAAGATAAATGTTGCAATATGTTGCCATCTTGTTCATTCCATGCTTAGAAGACTTGCTGCTGTCCTTAAAAATCACGGTGGTCATACATATTACTAGATCCAGTCGTTTTTGCTGTGGGGTGTATTCATTTTTGCTTCAACCAATTTTAGTAAAACTGAAGATTTTGTGATCGAAGTTATATTATTTATCTTAATTTCGTGTTATGGAGTTAAAAGCGTTCAATAAAACCCAGCCTTGTGAAAATTCAGGAAATTGTTCTTTTGTTCATTCAGCTACTGATTAAATTTGTTCTTTTTAAATGGGGCGTACTCATTCATGCTGAGCACTGCAACTACAAATCTCTTCAGGTGTTCCAGTGGGTCTAGGATTCACTGTAACGTGTGAATTTCCCCACTGTGGAAATTAAAGTCTATTCTATTCTACGCTAAACGGATCGGTAAAAGAAGTGAGGGCTGTCAATCTGACAAAAGAAACCAAAATCAGCTTTTTTGATCAAAATCGGGATGAATCCCTTGTAACGTCACAAAATGGCCTGATTTTGAGATCCCACAGGTCAAATGCACAGCCAGGTCAACTTACCCTGGCTATGACATCCTGCATTATCTTTTCCCCTCACAGGAGTCTTGAAGTCTGCATGTAGGCCCTTTAATCAGAGCCTACTTCCTCACACCAGCTGGACTGCAGAGGTAATAAAGAAATAAAAAATAATTTTCTCCTCCAAGGTCCATCACAAGAACTCTCTCAAATAAACTCCTTAATTCCCAGATGGAAGAAGAAGCTTTTTACAATTAAAAAAGAATCATTGAATGAACTTTTGTTATTGCTATTGATAGTAATTATAAATAATAAAATGTTCACTAACCTGTGTTCAATGATACGTTTTAGTATGTTAACTTGACGAGGTCATAACAAAAAACATTACAACTATTTTGTCTAAAAAACCACCAGCGGAAGTCATGTATGAGAGCCAGGTGTGTTTTATTCTGCTCCAGCAGGTGGCGGTAGTGCACCTTTACGCTGGTCACCGACCACCGGAAAAAGCAGAAACCGGAAGCTACTAGCAGAGCTAGCTCGTTGTTCTGGTGTGTGAGGAGAATATTTGAGGCTCCGCAGTAAAAATGTCTTCACTTCAGTCTCTGGGAGAGTTGATCAGCTAAAGCGACTAACTGCTGCTGCTGCAGAAATCTTCTCACCAGGCTGTGGAAACTTTCTTCTCCTCCTCAACAACTTGGTGGAGTTCTTTCAAGAACCAGAGAAGATATTCTGCGGTCTTCGTGACAACCGGAGCTCCAGAATCAGGTTGTGGGTGAGAAAAGCTTTTCTCTAGACTTCCTGCCCTCTGGATCTGCTGCTGTTCCTTTGGCCAGAACCATAGCGTTGGATATTTAATCTCCTGCTTTGTTTCTATTGCAGCTGTTAGCTAAACACGGCTAAAGAAAACCTGCTACCACTTCAGGATCATCCATCAGCTGGGACTGATTCATCGTGTGTTCTTCACCACCTGGACCTGGACAGCATGGACACAGGTAGGGCTGCTACCTTTCAGATATGTAAATAAGGGACCCCACCACAGCTTCTCGGGGCCATGACCAAATATGAACTTTAAATCATCACAGCTGAGCTTCAGATGGCAGGTTTTGAGTCTTTATTTCCTGATACTTGGACATCTCGCCCCAGATTGGATAACAGCAAAGTGACTCTACCACTGACTTGCAATGTGGATGTTTTATCTCCACAAATAACACTAGTCTGGAGGAGCTTCTGCTGTGCGGTGGTGTTGCTAATGCTAACGGTCAGCTTAAACTAGCTGTGAAGTCTTCTGCTGATTCTTTGACATCAGTGTTGGGCAAGTTACTTCAAAACTGTAATGCATTATTTATTACTTGTTACCCTCATTTTAAAGTAATTCATTACATTACAATTAGGGCTGGGCGATATGGCAAAAATAGAATATCACGATATTTCCAATATTTTATCACAATTTCGATTTTATCACGATTTTTTATCCATGAATAGCAGAACTTCAATTGCATATTAAAGAAGAGAAACATTGAATAAACATTTATTCATATTAGGGATAATCAGCACAGTGCTAACACACTTATATTTTAAACTCACACCAGAGATGATAAAAGCCCTGAGAGAAACAATTACAAAAATCAGTTTTTCTCGTTTTTCAAGTAACTTAACATAAATTAAAATCGTAAACATATTTAAAGTGCAAACATGTCAATTGCAAACGTATTGTGCAAACTTTAACTTGTTCAAAATACTATGTAGCTCCCAATTGCTCATGTAGTGGATAGTTAAGCTCAAATACGGCTCTGATGTGCGGCTGGACCAGAGATCGCTTGTGGTAGCAAATAACTGCACATTCTGAATATTTTCTGCAACAAGTCTCTAAATAAAGTAAAATTTTCCAGTGCAGATTGGAGACAACCCATAGAAGCACTGATTTGATCTCATTTCAGAGAAAAATAGAACAGGTTAGATGCACCTAATAAATAAAATTACTAACAAACTCAGGAATCTTTCTTTGCTTCACTGTTCTGGTGCTGAAAATATCACTAATGCGGATCAAAGGAGATACACAGATGAATGCACCTCTTATTATTTGGAAACTACATTTACTGCAGCTGGCAGAGGCAGAGATTGTTTCTATTGATACACGGAGTTTACAGAATCATTTTAAATGTTAATAGGGGAAGACTGCAGGAGGGAGCGGTAAAAACAAGAAACTACGAGTCTGATGAGACCCGCTGGTTTTCCATCAGGCAGTCACGGGGCAGCTCCAACGACCCAGTGACCGAGCTCAGTCCGGTACCGACACCGGCTCGGCAGAGGGTGGACGAGCCGAGGCGGCGTCGTGCTCTGCTTAAGAAGCAGTGTTATTTTCCTGCTTCAGAAGAAGCGTCCAACGTGTTTTTACGCTTTCTCCGAGACATGTCACGTCACTAAGTTGTTAGCGCCGCGCGCTAAGGAAACCCTGCGTTCCTCTTCGGAACGAAAACCTCGTTGTCGCTCAGCGGCGGCGAAGCCATGTTTGTTCACACACAAGTGAAAACAAGCGGGGCACTAATATATTACTATGACTCACTCTGATTGGTTAAGGGTCAAACAAAGGCGTGTCATTCGCCTGAGGTAAGTTCCATTTTCATTCAGAGGCAGAAATTCAACAGCAGAGCTGTGAATCGTGATAAAATGGTCTCTCAAAAATGACAGACCGTCAGATGTGTAGATCGTAAAACGGTCTAAAATTGTCATATCGCCCAGCCCTAATTACAATATTACTGATTTTAAATTGTAAGGCATTACACTACTTTTGCATTACTTTAAGTAACTTTCACTAAAACAACTTCAATATGAATCTGGTAATGTGACGCTCAGTGAGCTCATGACATATATGTGGAAGGTGATGTGGTGTCTGAGCTAGGACTGCTGTTAAAAACAGTCAGATATAATAACAGTGCTTTAAAATGATTGTTTATTAAATAAAAGCAACAACAAACTGTACTCTCAGCACGCTGCCATCTTAGATTAACTGAGCAGGGAGTGAGGTGGTGGGGGCTCCAAGCCTATATTTGCCTTGGTCCCCAAATGCCTTGATACGGCCCTGGATGTGGGACTGACTTCTGGGGTGATCTGATTCTATCACATGTATAAATATTAAATGCTTATATATTATTGCTTTTCACTGGTAAAAATGTGTATTGGGGATAAATCTACCTACTTTTTTCCTTTTTTCTTGATTTCATTTAAATAATTTCCTGCCCTTTCTCTCTCTAACCTTCCTGCATGCTACATGTTTTCTCAGTCTTCCAGAAAAAAGTGTTTCCTAGACTTCCTACTTTCTGTCAGCCAAAGGGATCTTCACATGCGCGGCGCTCCAGCAGTAATGAGTTGAAATCACCGGGGCCCAGATTAACTCAGCTGAGGCAAAGCACGTCAGAAAAGTACAGAATACCAGAGAATATGCGCTGATATGAATGATCGCAAGTGAATTATTTTGTTTTAGTGGAGCGATTTTGTGAATGTTACAGCGGCCGCGTGCAGGACCCAGCTGGAGTAGTTGAGCCGTTACCGCGGCGTCCTCTCTGCCCGCAAAGCTGAGTCCATAAATGACGTAATATATGCAGACACTGGATCTTTCTTCGGGTTTCTCGCAATTTGAATTTTTAAGGAACACATCTTGATTCTGGGTTTAAAATGCATTGTAATTACCGCGTTACTGACAATTGTACCGAGTAAATATTACCATTTTCTTTCCCTGTAATGCCTTACATTAGCACATTACAGCAAAAAGCAATGCATTACAGTAATTAATTACTTTTGTACCGCATTACTCCCAACACTGTTTGACATTAAAACAACAGCCTTCCTCACTGTGAGTCCAGATGGATGAGTTCATGAATGTTATTTCATAGTGCCGTAGATCTGTCAGGATTTTCTAATCCTAGAGTTTCAAAGTCTATGTTCTATCAGAAGATATGTGGAGAAGAGCAGAATTAGAAAACATCAAACATCAGTCATCCACACCTTTAAACGAATGGACCCTACATCGTTACGTTTGTTACTTATCCATAGTGAATAATAAGGAATGACACTGCTGCAGCAGTCCAAACAACTAAGATGCACTACGTAGGGTTATCAGGGTTCACAGATCTATGTAAGTTCAGGACACACAATGACATCATCATCATCATCAAAAACAACTGAATCACACTCAGAAGTCCATGTGGTTATTGGGAAGTCAGGGTAGTGATCAAACACTAATGGCCAACAGAAATATTAGCTGGAGTAAGTGTGTGTGTGTGTGTGTGTGTGTGTGTGTGTGTGTGTGTGTGTGTGTGTGTGTGTGTGTCATAGGGTTAGGGTTGCGGTTTAACATCCTAACCCAGGACTGTGGCTAGAGAGTTTAAAGTGGCTGTTTTATTTTGAAGGCAGGATAAGAGTCGCCTAAAAACCCACCTCCTCCGCTTGGCGTTCCCTGAGCGTGTTTGAATTTGGCCCTCTTTTATGTTGATTGTATTTCCCTGTTTCCATTGGTCTCCTTATCCCTTGTTTTACCCATTTGTCTTCTACTTTAATGTTTTTTGCACTATTTGAATTGCTTTTATTATCGATTTATTCATCATGTTTCACATTTTCTCACGTACCATGTTCAGCGCTTTGGGCTTCCCGACAGGAAGGCGCTTTATAAATAAAGCTTTGATTTGATTTGAAGAGACAATCGTGAGACTAGAAGCAACAAGAGGTATCAAACTCAAAAGTTAGAAGGCAAGAGCCGCTCGGATTTCGTTGTATCCAAGTGAGCAACCATATGGCGAGTTGTGGTTGTCTCCCAGCTCCTTAAGTAGCAACACTATGTGATCAGGCTCGCTGAACCGGGAACCGCCCACCTGCACTCAGATGCCCAGGAGAGCAGTTAGGAGTGCCACTCACCTTAGAGCGTGATCGTGTGTATCAGAGTACTTGATGATGATGAGCAGTGAGGAAGAGAAGTACTGGTCTAGTCAGCTCCCTAATCAACAGTAGGAAGTCCAAGTGCTGCTTGAAGGCTCCACCCACTCTCAGCAGTGATTGGCTCATCCATCCTGTCAGGGGTCACCTGGCCTGTGTTTAACAAGCATGACCAATAAGGGCTAAAGCCTGATTCATGCTTCTCCGTCAGCTCCGCAAGGGACAGACACGCATGGATTGACGGAAGCGTTTTGCTCTCATACTTCGTCTCCTGGAGAGTGTTCCAAAACAATTCCCCAGCAGGACAACAGAGGGCGCTGTTCTGTGGTATCCTGTCATGTATCGGTCCAAGATAGTGTGTTTATATTATGTTTTTTTTTTTTATATAAGAGACTTTTTAACACAGATAAATTTGTCTCTCATTCTCCTCCACCTCTTGATGCGCTCGCCACCTCTAAACCCACGTTTCCTGTCATTTCCGTCCACAAATAAAACGCTTGCTGCGGATCTTTTCACTCCTCCAGTCACTGGGGAATAAAATGTTCATGTTTTTAGAGTTTTATCGCGGGGTATTCTTCAAGCTTCTCCGTGTCTGTCTCTGTCGCTCGTTATCCTCGGCTCTCTTTATGTTTTTGAGGGCGCAATGGTGGCGTGTAGGCGACAGCTGCGTCCTGACCAATCACAAGCTTGCGTTGTCTGTCTTGACTGATGGATGTTTAGAAAAGAGAGCTCGACTCCGTCCGTCCTTGCGGAGCTCTCCAGCAGGCACGTAAGGACGTTGCGTGTCTCCGCACTGACGCAGACGGAGAAGCATGAATCAGGCTTAACGCTGTAACCTTTCTGTGTTTTTAAACTGTTATTTTTTGTTTGTTTACTTTCTTTGTTAGTTATACCTCATCTTTACTTTAGTTTGATCATTTTCTCCTATTTCTGGGCTTGAAATTCTTTCACTTTGTTGTAAAGCACTTTGTGGTTTTTACCTGAGAAAAGCACTTTGTAAATAAATGTTACTTTGCAGCATTGAGGACATTCTTTTATTAATGTATGTAACAAATGTGACGTTTAACCTGCAGAAAATAGTATGAATTATTTAAAAAGAATATTTTAGAAGCAAAAAATTACAATTATTATGTAATGCATAATAAAAAATGATAATTAAGGGAGTTTTCCTCTCCACTGTCGCTGCATGCTTGCTTAGTATGAGGATTGCTGTAAATAGGGCTGCTCGATTATGGCAAAAATAATAATCACGATTATGGTGACTGAAATTGAGATCACGATTATTTAGGACGATTTTTCAATTTATGTTGATTTTATTTGTTTTTATTCAGTCATAAAACTGCTCAGGGCACAATCAGGACGAAAATAAGAAACAAGATGATCACTAAAATAACTCCTGATTCCCAGTATAAAAAGACCAATATACTTATAGCTCATAGTCTATGACCCAAGGGCTATAGACCTTGGTTTAACTCATTTAAGTCTAACCAGTACAGACCCAAATACCAATATCTTGCAAATACTGACAGCAAGAATTATACAGTGGCATTCATAACAAATACATGCAAATAAATTGATGTTCACAAAAAATTGCATAATACGTATTTAGTCGTGTCAAGGTGCTGTAGGAGTGCACTAACACTGTGTCCTCAGAGAGATTAGTTATTATTTATCAGCGTGAGGAACTTATTTCTACCTTATTTATAAACTATTTATTTACAAATCATCCATCAGTTAATGTAATAATTGTCCCAACCACAGCTGCACCCCCCACCCCCCAACCCGGTCTCACAGCAATCGGGGCAAGCTGCACGTGTGTTTAGCGCGCCGCTCGCGCACATTTAGCCGTTTTTAGCGGCTCAGGAGTCCGCAGGTGCGGTGTGTGTGTCACTCACTCTGGTTGCTCCAACAAGGAGCCGGCTCCGAGAGCTGTCTTTAGCGACCGACACATCACTACATCATTCCCTTTCCTAATGTCCTGAAGAACGGTCCAGAGAGCAGGCGGTGTTTAGCTAACCTGCAGGAAACGTCGACGACAGTTATCCAGAAAGTAGCTAAGGGTTACCAGAGATGTTTCTGAGGTGTTCACTAGATACTTTTAAGTTAAAAAGTCAAGAAGGGGGTCTGAAAAGCTGCTAGAAATAGCGTCAAAGTCGCTAAATTGGCAACACTGTGGGAGGAGCGCTTCATTTGCAACTCGGGGCAGCGCAGGCGGGAGGAGCAAATAATCGGCTTGTTTTGTTTTTTATAATCGTTCAAAACTCAGATCGTAATCGTGATTAAAATTCGATTAATTGAGCAGCCCTAGCTGTAAAGACTCTGACACTAGTCAGTGACTCGATGCAACCTGCTGGGTTCCTTTTATAGGAAACTTTTTACTGATTGGCTTAATGAACTGACCTGAATTGGAATGTTTACTTTGAGAAGTCCCTTGAGACGACTCTTGTTGTGATTTGACACTATATAAATAATCTGAATTGAGAACCACTGCTATATACAACTGTTACATGCGTGATTGTAAATGGCGCTTATACATTAGCGTCGGCATGGGCACATACGGTACCGAACGGCACCGGAATGTGGTTTCATACACAGGTTCGATTAGCTTTTTCGGTGCTGAGGCGACTGTTTTTCTCAGACCTTCTCCCCAGCGGTCAGACTGGGACAGAGGCGACACTATGGACTGATTGGCCGGCTGAAATTACGCCTACCGCCTCCGATCTGCGAGAAGAATGGGCGGGGGTGGGGTGTATGTGTAATTGCCAAAAGATACATCAGTTGGTAATTCGCACAATGTGTTGCCTACAGATGTTCAACAGGTGTTGCTGGTTAAAGAAGAAGCTCCTGAAGAACAGAGTGCTGGTGACATTCAGCAGGACCCAGAACACCTCCACATAAAGGAGGAAAAGGAGCAACTCTGGACCAGTCAGGAAGGAGAGCATCTCCATTTGAAGGAGGACACTGATGCTGCCAGGTTTCCATTCACTGTTGTTTCTATTAAAAATGAGGATGATGAACAGAAACCTCTGGTCTCACAGCTTCATCAGAAGCAAATAGAAGACAGAGATGTTCCAACCATCAGCTCAGCTGACCAGGTGACAGCAGAAACTGGTGGCGGAGCAGAAACTAGCAGGAAACCCCATGAACAGACATCTGATTCTTCAGAGACTGAAGTTAGTGAAGATGGTGTGGAGGATGTTGATGATGTGACTCTAGACTCTGAGCTGTCAGACTCGAGGCCTGAAACTGGAGACAGAAACAATGACTGGATTGAGAACAGGTCTTCCGAATCAGATGTCAAGACTGTCAACAAATCTTTTAGCTGCCATGAGGGTGGTAAACAGTTTGTCCACAAGTGGTCTCTCCAGAAACATGTGAGAGTGACAAGTCATTCGGCAATAAGGTCCTCAGAATTTCTGGTTAACAAGAAATGTGCCAGAGTTAAGAAACATGTAGACTCATGTGGGAAAGTCCAGGAAGAACTAAAATCAGTAAGTTGTGACGACTGTGGAAAATGTTTTAGTGTAAAATCAAGTTTAAACAGACACATGAGAGTCCACACAGGACAGAAGCCTTTTGCTTGTGAGGTCTGTGGAAAAACATTTGGTGATAAGACACTTACAAATAGACACATGAGAGTCCACACAGGACAGAAGCCTTTTGCCTGTGAGCTCTGTGAAAAAAGATTTAGCCATAAGACACATTTGATCAGACACATGAAAGTCCACACAGGACAGAAATCTTTTACCTGTGAGCACTGTGGAAAAAGATTTAGCCAAAAGACACATTTAAACAGACACATGAGTGTCCACACAGGACAGAAGCCTTTTATCTGTGAGCTCTGTGGAAAAAGTTTTAGCCAGAAAACAAATTTAAACAGTCACATGAGTGTCCACACAGGACAGAAGCCTTTTATCTGTGAGTTCTGTGGACAACGATTTAGCCTGAAGTCAACTTTAAGCAGTCACACGAGGATCCACACAGGACAGAAGCCGTTTGCCTGTGAGCTCTGCGGACAAAGATTTAGCTATAAGGGATCTTTAAACAGTCACGTGGGAGTTCACACAGGACAGAAGCCTTTTGCGTGTGAACTCTGTGGACAACGATTTAGCTTGAAGTCAAATTTAAACAGTCACATGAGAGTCCACACAGGACAGAAGCCTTTTGCTTGTGAACTTTGTGGAAAAAGATTTAGCCGAAAGAAAGCTTTAAACAATCACCAGAGCATCCACTAGAACTGAATGAACTATTGTTTTCTGATTGAAACTGTGATTTCAAACAGCACGGTCACACATTTTCTACCACTTTACACGAGCTGTTTTTAGTGAGCACAAAGTCAATTTCGTTGAATAAAACAATCTTGAATTTTGAAAACTGCATTTTTTTGTAGTGCAACTTACTGACACAGGATCTATTAACTACTTTAGACATCCAGGTTTTTCTCTGGTTTTTAAGGTGTTACAGCGATGGTAATAGGAGGGGTTAATTTTTAAACATTTTCGAAATGCTTTTTTTCTATTTTTACAATTTTGATATTTTTTGTTTTTGTGAAGCGCCTCGTGATTTTTATCTTGAGAGGCGCTATAGAAATTATATTTTCTTCTTCTTCTTCTTCTTAAGGGGTTTTAGGAGACCATTCCAGTTTTTGAGCTGATGGAGCTGCAGACTCCCTTGTTGCTTTTTTCCCACCTTTTGTTTTGTTTTTCTTTTCAAAACATTTGTACAGCCTATAATGGCTATGGTCTTCCATCACTAATGGCGCTTACACATTAGGGCCAGTACAGTTGAGAGGCGATAGTGTCAGTTCGGTCTCATATGAACATGGTAGCGTCCACATGTAGTTTCAAAGTGGCCAAAGATTCATCCATACGGCATCAATAAATTATCACATGAGAGTCCACACAGGACAGAAGCCTTTTGCCTGTAAACTCTGTGGTTGAAGATTTCGCCAAAAGACAGGTTTAAACAGACACATGAGTGTCCACGCAAGGCACAATGAACTCATTTAACTATACAACTACCAAAATTATCATTGTAGTATCTAGATCCTGGATAGTATTGCAACCCTGGTTGTTGTCCTGTACCCTAGATCAGGGTCTCTTCCAGACCATGTGTTACGACCCCAACCTGGTCTAGGAGCCAGGGAGGTCTAACACAGAAATGTGAGAAATAAAAGGAAACGATCTGACACCAAGTCACAATCAAAGAAAGTCCTTTTATTAACAAAAAGCGTTCCAACGGGAGAAAAACCGGTTTAATTAAAAGGGGAGTTTAAAGTATGCTGCAGTAACCAAAACCGAGGACCAAGTAACTTAATAGAGCGATAAAATAAGAACTAAAACTCACTGGTTCCAAAAGTGAAACCAGGAACAACAGAAGCTTGCCCGGACGCCTTACCAAAAGTCCACTGGTGACTAACTCACCCACACAACCGACAGCTCTGTTAAGAGCAAAGGGGAAAACGAACATCAGCCTGAATGTTTTCCCAAGCAGGTGGAAATTAACCATCCGGGGGCAACTCTAGAGTTCTCACACAAGTCTCTCCTTTTAATCCTCTCCTCTCCAGTCCCCTCAAACTGTCTTTTGCTCAGTCTCTCACTCCTCTCTCTCTCTCTCTCTCTGCGTCCTCTCTCTGTGCGTTCTCCTCTCGCTCTGCTTTCTTTTTTCTCCGAGCAGCGCTGATCTTTATCTGCTCCAGCTGGGTGATTTCTGATGAGAGTCAGCTGCGTGAGTGAAGCAAGGGAGCCGGACGCTCTCCATGGTCCTGGAAATGGTGCAGGAAACGGTGCGGAGTAGAAGCTGAGTGCCGGGGAACTCAGGGTTCGTAACACCATGAGCCACCTCTTCATGTCCTGCAAGCCCCATATTGTGGCTGCTGCTGCTGCTGCTACTGTTTGGATCGCTGGCTGTAACGCACATAACACACAAGCTTGCAATATAAAGAACAGCACCTGTCCCCCTCCAGCTCGGCTGTGTGACTGCACTAACCTGTCCTGTGTGACCCTCACCATGTAACCCTCATGTCTATGCTGTCTCTGGAGGAGCAGATAGGAAACAAGATCTCCTGTAACTTAAAATGAACCAAAGCTTCCTCCCAGTTTCTATTTAAGCTGAATTTAACATCAGTGTATCATCATGAAACAAAAGAATAAAGTGGAACAAGAACTTCTGTCTTCTATTTCTCTCTCCTTTTAACTTCTCCGTGTCCCTAAATAAAAGAGACAGATGATTACGCTGCAGCCGCCATCACAGACACCGCTCCCTCCCCAAGACCGGATCTCCTGACATCACAGCACTCTGTCTGACTGAGCACTTCCAGGAGAAACAATAATGAACTTATGGAAATAATAACGATCCTCTCTCTTGTGTGAGAACAATTGCACAAAAATATCCAAGAAAGAATACACAAACACAGAGACTCAAAATGCCGGAGCAGTTTCCAAGCCAGACCGAGGCTCTACTGAGGCCTTTCCACGGAGCTAGCTCTGCGGTCACGTGGGTCTGATGCTCATTAATTATACAGACTTTTAGGCTTTTAATACACTTAAACAGAAGAGTGAGAAAAAATTCACCCCCCTCAGAGTTGTCATGAGTGTAAACTAGATCATTTAAACAAAAAACATGTTTTGATACCAGACTGTAAACATGATTATTTCTGCTGTGAAATTGGTATTTTTAACATGGGAGTCAATGAGGATTTGCTCGCTTCTGACTCCAGCCCCTAGTGGATGAGGGTGGATCTGCAATTTTTGGTACTTCCGGGGTTGACTCAATTTTAGAGCTCCATTGTGGGGGCTTGGGAAATACGTACAAAAGTCATTTACAAACGATAACGACAATGCAGAAAAAGGCTATCAGATTAATAACAAATGCAGGATATTGGGATCACACAAATGAACTTTTTATTAACCCTTCGATGCATGAATTATGAAATCTTCAACCATGATTTTTTAAACAATTTTTTTCATTCGTCTTTAGGTGTGAATGAAACAAATTTCAACAAATATTTTTTGAAAAATTTTATAATTTACAAATAGTTTATTACATGTCCACCTCAGTGGACAGCATGCATTCTGAGCATGAAATATGTTGGCTTGGCTTACTGAAGTCCAAATGGAGGGGCTCAAATAAAATAAAGTCTTCAACAGCTGTACTTAATAGCAAAAACAAATAAATAACAATTTTGAGTACCTGTCCACTGTAGTGACCATTATGCATCAAAGGGTTAAAACACGGACAATGAAGTTCCAGGACTTGGTTCAATACAAAACAGCACAAATAGTATATAAAGTAAGAAATAAATGAATAGCTGATAAAATACAGAAACTGTTCACAGAGAGAGAAGGAGAATACAACTTAAGAGGGATACTAAATTTAAAGATACATCATGTTAGAACAATATTAAAAAGTATGTGTATCACAATAATAGGGGTTAAATTATGGAACAGTTTAGAAGAAGAAATTAAAGTAAGTACAAATATAAACCTGTTTAAAATGAATTATGAAAAACATATCCTAAATAAGTATAGAGAAGAAAATAGATGATTTATGTGTTTGTCCTTTATTCTAAAGAAAGGTAAGTTTCAGTATGAATTGTAAAAAGATGTGTTTTTATTTAGTTTTTTCCCATATGGTTTGGTTGTTTGGGTGATTTGTACTATCTGTTGTTTTAATGTGGTTTTGTGTTACATTTGGTATAGTAATACTAAGTATAAGTAAAGAATAATATGCATAAAAGGGGTAGGGACATAAAAGTTTCGACTTCAGCCTACTCCTTTTCAGACAGAGAAGAAGGAAAAAAAAGGATGATGATTTTATATATATTTTCAGATTTTGAAAAATGATGTATGTTTTCTTTGTTTGAAATAAAGACGGAGAAAGAAAGAAGTGATGGAGTGGATATGCGGTGATGGAATGTGATGTGTAGGTGGTGTGATGTAAACTAGATGTTTATCAGAATCTTTGTATCTGAAAGAAATTGTGACATCTGGGTGTAAAATAATTTGTTGTCTGCTATAAACTAGAGAGTTGACTATTAATAAAACAGCATCAGACGCAATCTGTTATGTCTACAAACCCTGGCGGAGACCCCCAGCAGATCCAGACTGTCAGATGTCGGGTGGACCTCACGGCACCGGGATTTCATAGATTAACTCCGATACGACCCGTCCAGTCTTGAGATGTCTCCAGCAGGTTGCATCGAGTCACTGACTAGAGTCAGAGTCTTTACAGCAATCCTCATACTGAGCAAGCATGTAGCGACAGTGGAGAGGAAAACTCCCTTTTAACAGGAAGAAACCTCCAGAGGATCCTGGAGAAGACAGAGCAGACACACACACACAACATACAGTATACATACCAAGTAGTGTTTCTTCACTGTTGGATCCTGTGCTGCCTGACCAGCCAATGCTTGTGCAAAGAGAGGAGGACAAGAGGACGTACAATGCACAGAACTACAACAGACGCCATCGGGTAAAGCTGCTAAGTGAAGTATTGCGTGATGATCGCGTGTGCGTGACAGATGTGAAGACACCAGGTATTTTGAACCAAAAGCATTACTCACTCAGGTCTTATAGGGTGGACTTGCCACAGGGACTCGTTTGCATTTGATTCCTTTGCCCTTACCTGAGTCATCTTGCCTCAGCTGATGTTTGGTTGCTGCCAGTGGGCACGTCAGGACTGTGGGGTGTGTTAGTGTGTGGGAGAGGGGAGTGTGAACACAAAGTTGAGCTCCAGTTCACGGCACACAGTTGTCCCGTGTCTTCTAGTTCAAGTAGAACACAACAGAGGAGGCCGGATCCATGCCACGTCTCACTGTTGGCTCCATTACTGTTTTAAGGGTTTTAGTCCAGACGTTTTAATAGGTGAAAGCAAGAGTACTTGTAGGCTTTTAAAACAGACGAGGGACCCGAGTGCTGGCTCCCTCTTAGCTCTGTATGGTCAGTGGACCTTTGTGTTGGTATGTTTGAGAGCTTTTGAGATGTGTTTTAATTGAGAATCCCCATTTTAAACATGTAACCACGAGCCTTTTTAACACTGTTATTTACTGTTATTTATTGAACTTTTAGAATTGGAGCATTGTTTTTTAAAATCTGTATTTATGATAAAAACAGTTTCAATTTCACCAACCTGCACATGCCTCTTTGTTATGTGTCCTTCATGTGTACCAACCACTGGTACACAAAATACTGGTACTAAATAGCAAATTAAAGAAGCCTCCAGGAGTCCTCTGTTCTCACTCATCTGATGACTGTTGTGTGTTTGTTGGTCTGAAGGATCTTCAGGGACTGTCTGGGACAACAATGAGACGAAGTGTCCTCTGGACCACAACACCATCAGTCCTGTCCAACATGGTCCACGGGACGGCTGTGATGAGGTCATGGTGTCTGTTTGGTATTTTTATTTAATCAATCCAGGCGTACCTCAAAGAAAGTCCATCACATGCAAAGGGGTTAGAAATATTAGGTTATCAATATCAATTATCAATAAACAACCAATAATCAACAATCAGATTTTGCAAAACCGGAGAGAAAAGAAGATACACACCAATGGGATATCTGTTTAGTCTCTCATCGAGCCGAAGCTCTCAAAAGGTTTTATTCAAAAGTAACAGCACACACACATTAAAGATAAACACACCCACCCCTTCACAGAAAGCAAACTTTCCCAGGTTCTTGGTATAACAGAGAAACGCTCCATCTGGACTACACTAGGGAGCTTTTTGTGATAACAGAACTGCAGACTTACAAGGCCTACTTTCCCTGCTGGATGCGCATAATAATAATAAAATATAAACAAGGAATGAATCTTCATTTTAATTAAAAACACCAGATGGTACCCAGACAAAATCATTTTCCATGCATCTAATACTGTGTTTACCACTTTAAATGTGAATAAGGCTAAAGAACTCTGTTTGAAAGAACATTATTAACAAGAGAAGGTGAAAATCAGTTTCTACCTAACATTCCTCCCTGTTGCAAACGGAGTTAATCTCAACTAACTATCATTATCAACTGAACCACAATTAAGAAGCTAAACAATCAGGAGAGTTTAATAACTTTAACAATCCTCCCTGACGAAACATAGGTCACCTTCTATGAGTAGCAGAATGAAATAATAACAACAAAACTACGATTAAGTGTAATACAAGTGTAGCGTGAGGAAGTATGGGTTTTTCTGTGCCAGAGGTTGTATTTGCCCGGCTGGGTCAAAGCTGGGTCACCAGCACTTTCACCCACAGATTAAGACCTGAGCCGCCAGCAAGTCTACCAGGAATCAACAACATCTAACACCTGCATCACCAGAAGAAGGAGTTCTCACAGGAAGTCTAGTCATAATTAAGAGTCTTACGCTTCCTTTGTTTATTAATGCTAAATAATCTTTTTATCACTGTGCTCATTATAAATGTATTTTAATCAAATGAATTATTATTATGCTTTGGGTAATCATAATAACTATAATGAATCAGTATACTTAATTAATAGTGTTTGAAGATGTTTAGTGATGACCTTCACACTCGCTCACACAGGTCTGCATTCACAGTAACTCCAAAACACATTTGCTCCGACGCACAAGTTTGCGTTGGGAAGAGAAGTGGGTTTTGGTAAGTTAGTCAGAACGAGATTGACAACGAGAGAGAGAGCGGACGTGCTGAACAAACGCCAATGGGGAACGGAGCCCGCCGGCTCTTTTCTCCCCCCCCCCCCCCACGCTATTCCTGTCAAGCCAGACAGGTGATGTGGGTGTGTTCCCAGCCATCCAGGTTTTCATAGAGTCTAAGCAGGTGTGTAACAGCTGCAGCTTAGACATCTCATGGGGCTTAAAGGAGATGTACAGTTGGATGTCATCTGCATAAAGATGGTAGAAGATTTCTTTGAAGGAGCTCAGGATGTGCTGAAGAGGAAGCAGATAGAGGAGGAAGAGCAGAGCCCCCAGCAAAGAACCTTGTGGGACACCATGGTGTAGTGGAATATAGTTGTATATTCTTACACATTTATTAGGTCCAGATATTATAATCAGAAGAGGTTGTTTTTACTTCAGGGAGTTTTATTTAAACACTTTGTATTGACTTAGAGACAAGAAAAGAGAGAGTTGGGATCGTTTAAGAATCTTTAATTTCTATAATTATAAGTTCAAACAATCTACCAGGACTAACCCTCTATGATGGAGGCATATGGATTTGAATGTTAAAGTGTTGGTGTGTGGGTGTGTGTTCAGGACCTCCAGGCTGAGGCAGGCAGATCTAGTGTCAGATGTTTTGACTAGGAACCACGAGGCTTCAGAAGCTCATGACATGAAACGCCATCTTGTACCGTGTAGGAACTCCCGTGGTCAGATCGGGAATGTCAGGTCTCCGGACCTCCGTGGTACTGGACACATGAAACAGTGTGGCAGCATGACAAAAACCCGTCTACGGATAGTCCCGGTAGTAGTGGCAGGTCTCAGCGCATTCAGCTTTTATTTTGAAGGAACCGTTGTTGTTCAAACGACAGAATTTCCAGCTTGACAGTTCTCAGCTTAAGTAGAAAAATACAGCTGGCCGGGCTGTAATCTCCTTTAGCGATGATGATTCGAGAGCTGGTTGAAACTACGTTGAGTCTATGATGTAACTCAGATGAGGCTGAGGTGGAGCTGCTCTTAAAATGGCGTTGCTCTGTTTTTATTAACTTAGTTGTTTATAAATCTTAGCAAATCGGAGTGGACAATTTAAGTAAACACTCCAGAACTCTGCCCCGCAACAGAAGGAGGTTCTGATTGGAATGAGCGAACAATGTGTCACGTGTTTCACGTGTTTACCTTATGTGAATAAGAATGTCTGGCATAGTTAGTCCTGTTATTCAATAAACACATAAATCATGACATTTTGATTTCACAGATCAGTCACCTGATTACTATTGATCAAC